TAGGTGTTTGAATCGACAACAACGAAAGTGTCCATCATGTTGAGTGCGATCGTTGGCGGCACGTGACGCTGCCTAAGGTGATCGGTATCTCGTACACGAGGGGTGCAACGAGGACATTGCTGTTGAAGCCGTTGAATCGAACGAGACCGGGGAAGCATGCCGGGGAAGAGTGCTCTTCAACGGTAGGTTGCGTGCCGTTATCCACAGTATACATAGGAGACGTGTCACGTCTAAACGAACAATTCATTTGCAAACGTGGCGTCGTTTTGCTGGCTGACGCACCTTTGTTAATGTCACTTTGTTGCTGGAGCTTGACTGCTGGAGAGGGCAGTACCCTAAGTTACGTGGTGTACCGGTACCAGCATCCCAGGGGATGAAGTCCGCGTGTCGAGCCTCAATCCGGCCAACCCATTGGCTATATATCAATCCATTTTGATCAATGAAACGCCGTTTCATTCATTGGTCCAAGCCAATCATACCGCACCAAGTGTGTCCTGTTAAGTGCGAAAGCCTTGTGAAGTGCTGTCACAGCGGTACCACTATCGCACTTGACTGAAATTCACGCAACTTTCCGATTAGGTGCGAGCCTGAAAGCGCGCGAAAACTGCAGCAAGCACCGTCGTGGCAACTACCGGTAACCTAGGCTTCGCATTCAAAAGTGCCTACGAGCTCACCCCGCACGGGACCGGTTATATGCAACGATGAAGCATGCAGGATGATAGATTAGGATCGATGGGTCGAACGAACGTGCTAGGCTGCTACCGGCAAATCCAGCTCGCGTCGAACCTCGAGCTTCTTGACGCGCTTTGGTTTGGGCTCCTTGGGCTTTTCTGTAGCGTCGAAGGTGCGCTTCGCGCTCCCTAAACCTGTGGCGCCATCTAGCGCGACGCCCATGGCCTGCGCTCGCACGTTGTTAATACGCTCGGCAGCGGACCCTGGGCTGAGGTTGCACCACTGCGTCGTACTCGAGGCATGCGTCCGCTGCTCTCGCGTCGCCGCGCGTGACAGCACAAGCGCTTTGAGGTACGCCTTCAAGTCGGCGCAGGACTCGCACATGGCCGTGTTGTTGCTGCGCTGCTAAGCGTACTTGTATCGCGTGCACTTGACGTGGCGCAGACGATCGCACGAGTCGCGCAAAGCCTTGTCCGACTTGGAGAGGTGCAAGAAGCGCTGCACGTCGTCAAGGCCGACGTCGGTCATGACGAGCCCGGGGCACGCGAAATAGATCTTGCCTTTGTGGGCAATACCGCCGTCGTCAAAGGGGATCATGTTGACGTCGACCTCCATGGCGAGCATTTTGAGCTCTTGCAGCAGCGTAATTCGGCGCCGGTTGCCTTCAAGGCTGTTCAGGGCGGGCGGTGCGGCTTGAAGGGCATTCAAAACGTACTTGACTTGTTCGGTGATGCACACCTGTCGTCGAGCGATGGGATCCACGTCGCCCATCATGTTCGATGCGGTGGCCGAGCTCAACGATCTCGCCTTCCACTTCTTGAGCGTGCGCTTGTAGTTGTGTGCGGCCTGCTCGCACGCGTCGCATCGCGCCTTCGAGGTACCCAAGGCCAGCGTGATGGCGCATGTCACCGGCCGCACGCTGTTGTGTGCATAGGCGTAGCTCTCGTGAAAGCGCAGCTCTAGTGCGCCTTTTGGCAGCCCTAGGCACAACGGCAGTGGCTTCGGCGGCCATGGCTTCGGTGGCCTTGGCGTCGGCAACCTTGGCTTTTGCAGCCTTGGCTTCGGTGGCCTTGGCTTCGGCGGCCTTGGCTTCGGCGGCCTTGGCTTCGGCAGCCTTGGCCTTCGCCCGCTTGTCGTAACACCGCTTGCACACTCCACCCGCGCGCAGCGCCTTGGGTCCACGCACGCGCGCCACTGCATTGCAGGTGCTGCATCGTGGCGATTGCTTGCCCATCGTGGCTCACTCCTTGCCGTCGTTTCTTGTATCCGCAATCTTCGATCGGGTTCAATCCGACAATAAAAATTGAGACGGATATGATAATATGGCCGACTTTGGACCATGCTCGAAGGTGCTCGTGTGGTACCCAAGACAACCACGACAGAAAATTTCTCCCAGCGATACACTCGCCTTGATCTAATGCATTTGCTGTCGAAAGCTAATCCGTCGGCAGCCACCGGCACGTCACCAACTCGATGCCTCCAGATGCTCACTCAAAATCTTGCTTAGCAGGCAATGTCGCTTTGAATAACTCTTCGACCACTGCTTATAAAAAAGATTGTGTCTAGCATCCCGTAGAGACGAGCATTGCGCGTCGAATGGTACCATTTGTGCACGGCAGCGATGCTGTCTGCGTCTGCTAGCACCATGGAGCTGGCCGCGAAGACCGCGGCTCTTCATAAAATGTCGAATGTCATTATATTTGACAAAAGTTATCTTTTATTATAAAAATGTTTCCTCAGGCGCTCCATAGAGTCTCCCCTCACGACATGGTTTCAAAACGTCCCCTAGCATCTGCCTCGTACTTGCTCGCCTCCTGGTGACACACTGGATTTTAAAGACTGCCGAGCAGGAGGTCACAGCGCAGCCGTCGCTTTAACGAATGACGGATGCGTATATAGCGAACTGAGAGTGAGCTGAGGGGGTCGCGTCGCGAGCTCGTCGCTACAGTACTGTACGTGGCAGTCGCAAAACGAGCCCCTGCGTATCCGGATACGCGCGCGATGCGCAACGGCCAGCTCGCTGTGGCCTCCAGTAATAAATTCTACGGCGCCACGTGGGTGCTGCAGTGCGTCGAGCCAAGTCCTAGCTACTCTTTATCTGGGCGACCGACGACTGCATATTAGGACGTGAAATTTGTCAAGGGTTGGCTGTCTTTGTCGCCTCGAACCTCACGGCTCTCCACGGTACCGGCGTCGGGATCGCCTGCGCTGGCCAATACGCTTGGTGGACGGCATGATGCATGGACAGCACAAGAGGATGAATGTGTGCTTGGTATTTTGCGTCAACAGGATGCGGCGGCGGTGGCGTGGACACGGCCGGCTCTCGCCAAGGAATCTAGAAGCAATATCTGCTCGTCGTTGCCGAATCAACCTCGACCGCGATGGCGTCAGCTCTGGACGGTAATCTCGTCGTCGCTCGAGGTTCGAGTGAGCACTGAAGTTATAATACATACCGGTACTGTACAATCTCGACGGTGCGACCGTGCTTGCGTGGTGTGTCAACGAGCCAGAAATGCTGGTAGCACACAGCGTTGCGTGTTGCCTGGGACATGGGCGGCAAGCCGTTAGCCTCTCGTCGGTAGAGAACGGTATTGCGACATTGGCGTAACGAGTATGATCGCGCCAGTGGAAGCCTGTCGCGAGCATCCTCCCACGAACTCGAGAAGCGCGAACGTCGGGTGTGGACGCGCGTTTTAACGCGTGCGGCAAACTCCGCGGTTAAACGCGCCAAAACAAATGAGGACCACTCGTTTCTATCCGAGTTTTATCCAGCCGACACCCCACCAACGACAACCATCGTCTTTGTTGAATGCGTTTTATATACCGCCTTTCTAGAGGTGTCGACCGCCCACGTCGCGTCGTCTCGCACTGTCGTGCCTGCGATACATTTATCTAGCGAGCCCATCCCTCTCGGCCTGTATGTGGGCAAGCGATGTACATACGATCGCATCCAACCACCAAGTAGAAGCCATCGCCAAAGCTTCGATATCGACGGAGGCAGCGATCTCGAAAATGGACGGCTGCGGTGCGTCGCAACCGTTACACTCGCAACGTGCGGTCACGACGCAATGCACGCAGAGCATCGGGTCGTCCTCCTTCCATGACCTCGATCGTCGTACATCCATCGAAGCGAGACGGTGGTGACGCTTTTGGCATCGGCCAGCACTGGTCGGCCGCGATCACCTCGCGTTTGACGTTAAACGCGTGCGTTTTTCTCCGGCTTCGGGCGCCCACGCGCGAACTTGAAGTTCCGTGGGTGCGATTGGGTACGCTCCCGTCGTTCATTGGCTCCGGTGCGAAGCTGCGTGCATATGATTGGCCAAAGCGTTTAACCCAGATGGCAGCGCCGGCTCCTGTTTTTTTACCCACGAAGATACCATTGCGATCAGCTGCCATTTCCAGCTTTCCCAGCAAGTGCAAACTCACTAAGTACTGTACCGCGCCATGCTCTCGATGCCCTTTGTCGTCGCGCTCCTCACGCGCAAGTACTCGATGGACGGCCGGCCGGGCCCGGCGACGCTGCCCACCGCCGACGAGTGGGGCCCTCGGTACGACGCATCCGGCGACCGCGCGCTAAAGCCCACCACGGACGCGCTCGTGACCAAGCATGAGTATAGGGACCGGTCCGACACGGCCTCGACCGTCTCGACGTCGGCGTCGCACGACCTCGCCGCCATGTACTACCCTGCCAAGCGCAGCCGCCGCCGCCACGACGACGACGAGAACGACGCAACGACGACCTTTGTGATTCCCGAAGGCGCGCAGTGGCGAAGTGTCTTTGAGCGGCTGTACCAGCCCGACTACCACCAGAAGCGCGACGAGCGCCTCGCCGAGACCCGCGAACGCATCTACGCGATCGAGTGCACGTTTCGCCCGGCCATTGCTGCCCGGGCCGCCGCCAACGACGACGAGGATGACGACGAGGCGCATGAAGATGGCGTGGTCGAGCCTGCAACGATGACGATAGTCGCACGCCTGTACAGCCCGACCTACCACCAAGACCGACTGGCGCGCCTCGAGGCCAAGCGCCAGGCGTATGCATTCCATCCGACGACGAACGAGCCGACTCGGCAGCTGCCGCCGATCGAGACGCGGCTCTACTCGGCCACGTATCTCCAAGAGCGCAACGAGAAGCTGCTCCGATTGAAGGTGCAGCTCGAGCTCGTCGAGTGCACGTTCACGCCCAGCATCAACACGCACATGCACGTCTCGGTGCGCAAGCCATTGTACGACCCGTCGTACCATCAGACGCGGAGCTCGATTCTGCTCCTGATGCAAGACCGGCAGATGGTCAAGCCCACGCATCTGCGCCGGACGACCTCGACCGCGTCGACGTCGAGCACGACCACGAGTGCGCGGCGACAGGCGTAGTTGTCGTTGCGGTTTTACATATTTATTGTCAATATTGTCTATCCACGGTCACGGGTTTAGGGTTGAATCGTATTTCGCCTTTATGCTAAAACGACGATGGTGGACTTTCTTGTCGCAGCGGTGGCAACGAGCGAGCGGAGGGGCTCTGTGCTCGTGCCAAAGAACCGAAGTGCTTCACGATGTAATGTCGCGATGCGTGCAGTGTGCGTGACGCACGCTGCAAGTGCCCCTCAATGTACTCGGCAGTAATGGCTATCGTCTAGTACACGTAATGACCGTGGGTCGTCTATTACATAGATATAAACTATGCTAAATACTAT